TGAGTGGATCAAAGATTGTATAGGATTCACAAGTTCCATGTCAGGAAAGGGTATACCAGTTGGTTTGATATAAGGAAGGGACTGGAACAGGGAAGTATTTTGTCACCGATTTTGTTTAATGTGGTAATGGAAATAATGTGGAGAGAAGTCAGAAACAGAAACGTTAGGGGAAATGTGGGGACTAAGATGTTTGCAGACGACATAATGCTGTGGGGAAGACAATGCAGGAGAGTTACAAAGACAACTGAATACGGTTTCTGAGTCCATAAGGTTTTTTTTTTAGGGAGAGGAGGGAAAATGCTTTTACGCACACAGGTAGCCAGCCTGTAGTGTGAGACTCCTGAAAATTATCAGACTACTCACTAAAAAACCCCCTCTACTCTGTTGGGCATAGACCTGGAATTGTTTGTCACATTACTTCAAGTCAGGCCAACATGTGACCTAAGCCCTCAGGGCTCGCACCGTTTCTGGCATTTAGATTCTTAATGACCTACACCGCATCCCGGTCAAGGTCGATCTTCTTGGCGCGGAGAATACCCTGGATATAATGTGACACACAGGTCCAATTGTCCTCACCCTCCGTCATAATCGGTATATGACCGTGTCCACCGACAGCAGTCCTATCAATTGTTGAGCCTCCAGGCGGGGCCTTTCCCAGCGCTGGCAGTGGAAAAATGTATGTTCCACGTCATCGAGAATGCCTGGGCAGTATATGCAGTCGGGTGACACGGCTCTGCCCATCCTGAACAGGTACGACCGGAAAAAGCCGTGTCCCGTCAGAAATTGGGCGAGGTAGAAGTCCACCTCTCCGTACCGCCGATCAACCCAAGGTTGGACTTGCTGTATCAGTCGCCTGGTCCAGAGTCCCCGTGTCTCCTGTTCCCAACCCTCCTGCCACAGCTGGTAGGTGCGGGTGCGTTCCTCTGTTCGTGCCTCGTCCTCCCCACGGCGCCGGTAAATTGCCTTTCTCTCCGCCGCCAAAAGTTTGACGGGGATGACTCCAGCAATCACCAGGATGGCGGGCTCGGACACTGTTCGGTAGGCAGATGCTACCCTCAGTGCTGCCTGACGCTGCACTCGGGCGAGCCGCATCCTGTATGCCTCCTTATTTAGTGCGTCTGCCCACACCTCCGCACCGTACAAGAGTACGGACTGGACCGAAGACATTAACAGCCTTCTACGACTGGACCGAGGCCCTCCGACATTGGCCATCAACCGGCTAAGAGAAGAAACCACCCTAGCGGCCTTATCCGCTGTACGGAAGATCTGATCCCGCCAGCTAAGCTTGCTGTCTACTATGACCCCAAGATACTTGGCAGAACGAACAGTTTAAACCTCGACGGCTCCCACCCTCAACGGCACGATGGTGTAAATCCGTTTTTTTGTCAAAATCACGATCTCGGTTTTGCTGAGAGCAAGCGAGAGACCGTGGTCTGCCATCCATGCGTTTATGGTACGCATAACTCGGTTTAGCTTTAGCTGAGCCAGCTCAACGCTACGTGCAGCAATCAAAGCCGCAACGTCGTCTGCGTACCCAACCAAGACCGTTTCCTCAGGCATTTCAGACCTCAGAAGGCTGTCATAAGCGACGTTCCAGAGGTCTGGGCCGAGTATGGAACCTTGGGCAGCACCAGAAGTGACACTCATCGTCCGCGGGCCCTCCGCAGTGTCATATGTTAGGAGGCGAAACCGAAGATAATCCTCTATGATGCGCATGAGGTATGCCGGCACGTGGAAGGTGTTCTCCAGAGCATCCAGCATATCGCACCACCTCGCCGAATTAAATGCATTTCGCACATCGAGCGTTACGAGCAGCACAACCCTGCGAGAGTAGTGGGTAAAATCCTCAGCTCTCATCACGGCTTGCTTCACCTCCTCAATCGCATCAATCGTTGATCGCCCCATCCTGAATCCATACTGACGAGGGGAGAGGTCCCCCGCAGCGACAACGGCTGAATTTATCCGGGAACAGATCAATTTCTCGAGGACTTTGCCAGCCGTATCCAACATACACAGAGGTCTGTAAGAGGATGGCAGATCTGGGTCTCCCTTGCCCTTCCCAACAAGCACAAGCCTAGCTTGTCTTCCAGTGACCGTTATAGCACGATAACTCGAGCAAAAATAATCCGAATTGAAATTCGGTATTAACGTGTTTAAACATAAATTTATTTGAACGAGTTCGCGAATCAGCATGATCCGACCATGTGAACGGGGATTTATGGGGGTTTTATGGGGTAAAAATGAGATTTTGACCCTAAAAACAAACAATTTTGCAATTTATTTTTAAGCTATTTTGTGGAGCTTAAAAAAAATAATAATTTATTAGTATAATGAAGCGCTGTTGTATGCCTAACGGTTACGGAGAAAATAAAAAAGTGTTATTATTTAACATTCCCATTCTATTCTTATGAAGAAAATGAAAACTGTTGTAGTTTACTTGTTTATGGATATGTTGATAAAATGTGGCAAATTTAATTATTTCATCCTATACTATTGATACGTATGGTAAAAAACCACGTTTTACCTTCCCCGTAGCTGCAAACCTAAGCACTCGCTAAACCTAATGTTATTTAAATTGGGAATAAATATGTCTTATTTATGGAAATATTTGAGCAAAAAAGTAATCGGACAAGTTGAAATAGTCCGCAGTTTGCTGCAGCGGGGGTGTTTACATTTTAGCATTGACTATATTATACTAGCTGTACCCGCGGGTCCCGTTTAACTTTATAAGTGAGCTCGTTCGCTGCGCTCACTTGCCTTCAGGTTAGCTCGTTCGCTACGCTAACTCGCCTCCAGGTGAAGTTCGTTCGCTACGCTCACTCACCTTTTGGTTTCAAATTAGCTGTTGTCATAAATGTAAAAGAAATAATAGTGCTGTACCCTGTTGGTAATCCTTGTAACTTTAATGCTATTGAACATCATAGAACAGAACCAACTTGTTTAATTGAAACAGCTGTTAAGATTCATTAATTTCATTTAAATATGAGTACTCATAAGGATAACATGGGAAACTCCAGAGCCACTGGGGCGGAGCCCTAGAGTCCGATCAGAATAAAAACATAAACAGCTTAGTTTTCTTATTTAATGCCTAAAGAACGAGTGTACCAAATTTCAGCCTCCTAGGTAAATGGGAAGTAAGAGAATTAGTGATGAGTGAGTGAGTCAGTCAGTCAGTCAGTGAGGGCTTTGCCTTTAATATATATAGATACCTGGGGCCCATTTCATAATGAAGTACAAACTAATATTATTAGTAAATCAGCTGATCGCCCAATGCAAATCTAATGGAAAAAATGACAAGTTACAAGCTGTAACTTGTAATCTGTAGTTTATTATGAAATGGACCCTTGTAGGTATATATAGTCAATGATTTTAGGGTCTATATCAGTTTTATTAGACTGTACTGAGCATTGGAAGTGGTGTACGGAATTCTCCACCCGCCGATACCTGGCGAATGGCGATAGCTATCTTCCTTCACTTCACATCATGGTGGAAGGAAAAGAAAAAACACTTCACATAGTAAAAAAACAGTGGTATGATCGTAGTCTTTGATTTGAACGCAAAGTTTGCAACAAAACAATTCCTCATACACATAAAGAGAACAATTTAAACAAAAAACAAAACCAAACACCCACATAATTCATTCCAATCCTTGGGTTCTTCATCCATGGGCCTCCTTTAGGGATAGAAATGCTTGACAGCCCTCAAGCGAGAAGACTCCAACCCAACCCCTCTCCCAACTATCCCATCATGGCCTTAGAATCCTACTAAATCCCATCTATTATCTTGACACAACAAAAAAACAAAAACCAAAATGAAATTTGCTACCAAACTAAAACATTACCCTCAACAATTCCAAGTCAATACTAACAAAAACTCACCAAATTCTAATGAAAACCACAGAATCGTCAAATAAATTAGTGCACAACGAGGCTGCATATAAGCCTGCTGTCGAGCAAAAAAGATAAAAAAACAGTAACAACAACCAACTCTACGCTCAGTCGCTCGCTCAACTCAAATAAATTAGTGCACAACGAGGCTGCATATAATATAAGCCTGCTGTCGAGCAAAAAAGATAAAAAAAACAGCAACAACAACCAACGCTACGGTGATCAGTGTTGCCACTTTTAGGGTAATTAACCTTTTTTTAGGGTAATTTACTGGTCTTAGGGTAAAGTTCAGGGTAATGGTAGATTTAGGGTAATTTTAGGGTAAAACTAAAAGTTAGCATAACAATGGAAATGTTACTAAAAAAATGAAAAAAAAAACTTCAAAATTTGGCAAAAACGTTCATTACATACTATGGCCAAACCATAATATTAGATTCTTTAACCGGTTTAAATCGATTGCTATGATGAATTTTTCATAATAAGCTATCCTAATCGATCTTAGATCTTATTTTCAATAATTGGGAATCTGTTTTAGAATGTATTCGATTCTATAACACGTTATAGGCCTGACAAAATATGAAATATTATTCATTACTGGGTTTAATATTTAATTATGTGATTGAATTGAATTAAACTGGATTATTTTACAAATTGTGTCAAGAAATTACTACTATGTATAGATCAAAAAAGCTTTGGTGGTACCGTACTGTATTTTAAAGATATGATTGTCCAAAAATAGTAGTAATGGGTCGAAACAGTGAAACAGTAAAAAATACGATAGTTCTTGATTCGATATTTTTCGTTATCCGATAGTTGTTAAAGCTGATCAATATCAACATATTTTGTTCTTCTTTCGGGTGGTTTTTTAGAATCGAATATAATTTTACGTAAATTGATTGATATTGGAACTTAATTTAGTATAATTAACCACCTTATGTAAGATTTATATGATTGTAACAATGTTTTATAGCATTAAACGCAAATATTAACATTTAGGGTAATTTTTAGGGTAACTCAAAGTAGATTTAGGGTAATTTTAGCCCAACTTTAGGGTAAAATCGCAACAACGTGGTGGCAACACTGACGCTGACGCTCAGTCGCTCGCTCAAGCTCAACTCGAAATCAACCGCCTGCAAGCTGCAACGCTGCAACTCAACTGATAAGTTGATAAGTTACTAATAAGTGCTACAACCTGTGCAAGCAAACCGGAATTACTTGAATAAATTGAAATATTCGTCAGTGTGTGAAATTAGGGTTTGGTATGCGCTTTTGATTCATTGTTTCATACTTATCTCGTTCACGACACTTGTTTGATTTTGATCATGTTATTTTGTATTTGACATTCGCCCACCGCTGGCTGCACTCATTACAGTAACACAATGGTTGTGATAACATTTGCGAACTTCGTGCTTTGTGCAACGTTTGTGGTGATAGCAAGTTCACCGGGCGTTAGTGGTAAGTAGCCTAAGCCTATATTTGGCTTTGGTTGGTATCTTGATGAACGTTGTGTGTTAGCCTACCTGATATCTCTTACATTGGTGCATGTTAGTCAAGATTAAGGACTTTAGTTTTTCTGTTTTTTAAGAATGACAATGCCTATTTTATTTACTGTATAGCCTACCGTATGGCTAATAAAATAATTTATCATTCACGTGATTCAATCGCTCCATTCTAATGTTGTACCTGGAATCTATTCTTTTAGGTAACTCCCAGATCACTATAAAGCTTTACAATCCTAATAGCATTAAGTTAGGTTTCTTTAATCTTAGGTCATGGCTGAGGCGGTTGAAAGCCTTGTTAAGTAAATCGAGACAAACTTTCACAACAGTCTCACCATCTTCAAGTTTGTCTACAATGTATGGTAGGCCTACTCAATAAGACATAGCTTACAAGCACTGTGGATGTCTCTTTGGAGTGAAACCATGCAATTCCCTTAGGCCTACCGCACACGAGAGACTTTTTGTCCGCCGACTATTTTGTCATAGTCAGGAGTCAAAAGTCGGCCCCATAGTGGTAGGGTAAATCTGAACTCGTAACAGGTTGACTGCAGCCAGACAATCGGCAGACTGTCTGCAGACAGTAGGGGCATTTTGGGGCTTACCGACTTTCCCGCCGACTGCTCGCCGACTCAACTGTCGTGTCATATTGATAAAGGCATAGAGACAAGTTTAAATGCGCACACTGGCGTCTAAAAAGTCTGTCAGTGTGACAGACTTTTTAGTGTATGTATGCACTACGCAGACAGTCAAGTGTTTTGCGGGACAAAAAAATTGATAAAATTATACGAGGGTTGTTTTTTTTTCAACCTCCGATAGGCTATAAATAAAAGACAAGTCCATATAAAATAATACATTTATTACCAAAAGAAAGGTACACTTACGGCTACTTTTCGACATAATCGCCATGGAGATTCAGACATTTGTCGTATCTGTGGACAAGCTTTTGTATGCCCTCCTCATAGAAGGTTGCCACCACCCCATTTAGGTAGTCCTTGACGTTGGTTTGGAGCTCCGCATTGTTTTGAAAACGCTTCCCACCAAGCCACGTCTTAAAGAAAGGAAAAAGGTGAAAGTCGCTGGGTGCAAGGTCAGGACTGTATGGCGGATGATCGAAAATGTCCCATCCAAATTGGTCGAGAAGCTGTTGAGTTGCTCCAGCAGTGTGTGGACGGGCATTGTCATGGATCAAAACAACTCCAGAAGTCAGCATTCCTCTTCGTTTGTTCTGAATGGCTCTACTCAAACGTCGTAAAGTTTCACAATAAACAGCTGCAGTGATTGTGGTTCCAGGTTCCATGAATTCCACAAGCAACACACCTTTTTGGTCCCAAAACACAGTAGCCATGGCCTTTCTGTTGTTAAAGGTTTGTTTGAATTTCTTTGGTTTGTTTGGTGAATTTGAATGCATCCATTGTTGTGATTGTTGTTTTGTTTCCGGTGTGTCGTACTGGATCCAAGTTTCATCCCCAGTCGATTTCAAAAAGTCGTCTCCGTCATCATGGTAACGCTCAAGGAACTCCAAAGCTGACGCCATTCGTCGAGTTTTGTGGACATCCGTCAACATTTTTGGGACATAACGTGCACAAAGTTTTCTGTAGCCTAACTGTTTAGTAACAATAGAGTACAAAACAGACCTTGAAACATCGGGAAATTCCAAAGACAAAGCAGTAATGGCGAATCTGCGGTTTCCTTTTACCATTCTGTCAACACGTTGAACCAGGTCATCTGAGATGACAGATTTGCGTCCTTGTCCCCCTTCATCGTGCACATCATTACGGCCGTCTTTAAACTTTTGACACCATTCACGCACAACACCATCACTCATAAAGTTTTCCCCATACACACGACTCATTTTCCGATGGATTTCTGCAGCACTATGGCCTTCAGCCTGTAGAAAACGAATAACACTTCGCAATTCGCACTTGGCGGGAGCATCAATGGTGGCAGCCATGTTTATGTGGCTGTAGCACAATGCCAACTGACGCGCGAATGTCAACAATGGCGACAGGTGTAGTGGAAGAGTTGCGCAATCGCCTACGGCGCATGCCCGCCTTCTGCCTCCCGCGTAGCGTCTGCACGGAGTGATCGGAGGTTGAAAAAAAACAACCCTCGTAGATGAAGTGAAGGCACTACCTCTTAAAGTCTTTGTAGGAGTATTCAGACATAATATCAAATACCCTCACAGGAGCAAACCTGCAGACCAAACGAATTACATTTTGTCTAAATAGGCCTAAGTTACATATCACAAAAATATTTCCATAAGTTTTACCTAAATAAAACATAGGCCTAACTTATTTTATTCCCAATTTAAATAACATCATTAGTTAAGGAGGTCTTAGGTTTGCTGCTACAGGGAAGTTTAAAAGTGTTTTTTTTTTACCATATTCTTACTACTTCAATAGTAGGCTATAGGATGAAATAAATAAATTTGCCAGATGTTATCAACATATATCCATAAACAAGTAAGTAGGCCTAAACGACAACAGTTTTCATTTTCTCCATAAGAATAACATGGGGATTTTAAATTGCACTTTTTTTATTTTCTCCCTAACCGCTAAAAAGGCATACAACAGTGCTTCAATCTTAGTAGGCCTACTGAATTATTAGCCTAAATTTTTTTAAGCTCTACAAAATGGTTTAGAGAGAAGTTGCAAATTTCTCAAAAATTATAAAACCCATTTTCACCCCATAAACCCCCGTTCCCATGGTCCGATCATGGTGGTTCCTGAACTCGTTTGAATAAATGTAGGTTTACACGGTTTATAACGAATTTCATCAAAATTGGATCATTTTTTCTCGAGTTATCACGCTAACAGGCACACACAATAAGTACCTATAGCCTATGTAAATATGCAGACTGTCGCTAAAGTCACGGAGCGGTTTAATATTTTCTAAACGAGAACAGATAAATCAATAAGATTTTGTACATCAACACCACACCTAAAAATCTACTTTTTTTAAGGAAATATCAATTTTCTGTCACATCATGGGGACCACAAGGAGTCAGAAGGAAATCTTAAATAGAAGCATAGGTTGATATGTACATCAAATTATAGGTCTTTTCTAGCAGAATATAATGCCGCAAATTTGAACTCAAACGGACAACCGAGTCAAGAATGACAGTGGTTCAAAGATTCATTTAATTTGCATTGCTATTATACGCTAACTCCTCAAGGGGGCACAGCCCTAGGAATCGGAAGAAAATTGTTAACGTAAGCATAGGTCGATATGCACATCAAATTAAAGGTCTTCACTAGTAGATTACAATGCTGTAAATTCAAGCTCAAAAGAACGCCTGAGTAAAGAATGGCAGTCATTTAAAGATTCAAAATGACAGATTCAAGAAATCTTTGGAAGGCTGCCATTTTTTACTCAGTTATCCGTTTGAGTTCAAATTTACAGCATTATATTCTGCTAGTAGTTCCTTAAAAAAGTAGATTTTTAGGTGGGGTGTTGATGTGCAAAATCTTATTGATTTATCTGTTGTCGTTTAGAACATATTAAACCGGTCCAGGACTTTTGCGACAGTCTGTATATAGGCCATAGGCCTAAATATAAAAAAAAAATATATATATAGGTAGGCCTATATATATATTTGAACAGATGGTGTTTTCGGCCTCTAGGAACCTCAAAACAAAAAAGTAAATCGGTCCCGGGTCCAGGTCTTACCATGAGTACTAACGGTAATTAGCTTATTCCCTATATGGGAAATTCGCTAAAAGAGCAATGGTCCTAAGATAGACCCTTGTGGGACACCCATTTTAATGTTCTTCCAAGGAGACTTTGATACTAAATAATTTTAAAAATTACAGTTCTTTGGAACCGGGTTTGTCTTAGGACTTAATCTATGTACCTGATTGATTGCTTTGAAAATTTGTACACATCAAGCTTTTTTATAAAAAGTAATGCCTAGTTAAAAGTATGCCATGGTTAATCGTTCCCAGGTCTTTTACCTACTGTAATATTGTTCTCTGTAGGAAAATTCAAAATGTAGGAAAACACAAACAGCAATACTCTTCTGTGTCATGATCCCGTTGCTAACAACCGGTAAAGTAAGTAACTTAGTATACTATGCAATGTTGTAAAAAGGATTTTCAATCAACCAATTGTACAACATAGCTTTAAACACTGCTTCTGGTACAAATCTTGAATCAAAGTGCAACTTATTATGGGTTTTAATATAGGCCTACTCATTATGGAATGGTTCACAGAGCCTATGCCTATGTTGTAATAAGTGACTCATATGTTATTGGAATTTTATATCGCCTGCTTGTATGACACAGAGATAACAGTTATCAAATGACTATGATACCACCAGCTGTGCTTATGTATGTCGTAGTCATAACATACTGCCAGTTGGATCATTGTTTTACTCATTAGGCCTACTTGTTCTTTAACTATTAATTGATCTATTACCACCAAATGCCAAATGGCAGGGTAGATTCAAACCAGGCTCCAAAGTTGTCATTTTTAAGACCAAGTTTGTAATTAACTATTGACTATAGGCGAAACAAAAAGCTTGATGTTTTATCATATGAAACAGTCATTTACTGGAAAGTGGTCATTCACCCTAATCCAAAGCAAGTTCATTTTCCAGATTAGGAAGGATCAACCTGTCATGAAACTAACTATGTGAAGCAAAAAGCAATTAATTATCTCCATTGTTCAAAATGAATTATAAATGCTGTTCGGTTTTCTATAGGCTTAATCCTGTTATATTTTATGTTGATAGGTTTAGAAGTATGCTCACCAACAAGTATATTTGAAAGTGCAAACGTCTGTGGTGATAATAGCTATTGCTGTGGAGTCAGTAACAATGAATGCTGTACCCGTCTGATACCCTCTTGGCAGGATCCTCCCGACAGGTAAATAAAACCAACTGTTAAGATTTACTGTAGAGTTCAGTCCATGAATCTTATTTCCAATGATGAATATTTTTTTTTTGCTTTACCAAAGGGGTTGCCCAATTTATGCATAGTTTTCAAGTAAAGCTGAACTTCAATAGTTTTTACATTGGTCAGACCACTGGCCATCCGAGTGGCATGTGAATGACAACCGATTTGAAATTTATCTGAGCTGCCTTGCAAAAGACTGAGACCAGCACATCTAGCCACCTGTATTATCAAGACAACCCAAGTAGCCTATTTTTTTTGCAACCTAAAAGAGTAAATGTAAATTATGTTGACTTAAGTGAAAGTAAATTACTAACACCTAAGGTTTTACTGTTACAATAATTATCTTTTATTTTACTGAAGTACACACACACAACATTTTTACTCAAACATAACTTATTCAACAATTCTCTTTACAATAAAAAAATCCTAACTATTTACACATGGTCAGCTGTTACCAACATAAATTAAATTAAATACAGAACAAGTAACAGCAAACATATTATATAAAAATAAAATTACATTCAACACCTTCCCTTAATTTTAATTTTATGTAAGAAACAAAAAATAAATATCTCGATTATCGTCTTCTGTTCAAGATTTTGGATAGTTGATCAAAGCTTTGCTAAATTGATGAAACTTAACATTGTTCAAGGGTTTTGTAAACATATCCGCAACATTCTCAGATGTAGAAACAAAAGAAATGTTTATTTTACCTTGCCTTACATTTTCAGTCAAAAAATGGTAGCGAACATCAATGTGTTTGCTTCGCTTGTTAAAAATTCCATTTTTACAAAGCTTAATAGCACTTTGATTGTCCATGTTTAGGTTTGTTTCAACATTAGTTCCACTCAACTCTTGCAAGAAAGTTTTTAAATATAACACTTCTTTGACACATTCCGCCGCTGCAATGTATTCTGTTTCAGTGCTGGACAAAGCTACAATCGGTTGTCTTCTTGTACACCAGCTTATCGGGTCTTCTCCATACATTATGACAAATCCAGTAGTACCTCTTCTTGTATGCTTGCAATTTGCATAGTCTGCGCCACAATATACATTTAGGCAATTTTCTCCTGATGCTGAAAATAATATTCCTGCGTCTTGAGTACCTTTAATATATCTTAAGGTTCGTTTGACATTTACAACATCTTCATTGCTTGGATTCTCAACACATCTACTTTCTAATCCCACAGCAAGTGTAAGATCAGGTCTGGTTTTATTTGATAAGTACAGCAAACTTCCTACAACTTCTCTGTAAGGATAATCTTTTGTCAGGCAGCTTACTTCTTCATCAGGTTTGCTCGTTTTCACTGGACAAATGGGAGTGTCTACAGGTTTACAATCTATCATTCCATATTTTTCAAGAATACTGTTTGCATAGTTCTTTTGTGTTAACAATATCCCTTCCCTTGAATATAAAATTTCCATTCCAAGAAAGTTTGATGGGTTTTCGTCTGTTTTTATTTTAAAATCTCTAGACAGCTCGTTCAAAAGTTTCTTCATCTCTCTTTCATCTGAACCAGCAAGAATTCCATCATCAACAAATATAGCAAGATGAATACTGCCATTTGTAAAAACACAACGGTCAGACTGAGTTTGTTTTAAGCCATATTTTAGTAAGCAGTTTGTAAACAACTGGTTCCATTTAAATGGAGCTTGTTTAAGTCCATATAAAGTCTTTCTTAATTTCAAAACTTTATCTTTATGATCAAACCCTTCAGGTACACACATATAAATTTCTTCATCTAAATTTCCATATAGAAAAGCAGTTTTAACATCAAATTGCATTAGTTTGAGATTTTGTTTGGCAGCTAATGAAAATAACAAACGTAAAGTTGAATTACTTACAACTGGGCTGTAGGTTTCTTCATAGTCTATACCTTTTTCTTGGGCAAAACCTCTTACAACTAGTCTCGCTTTGTATTTTCCGTTATCCTTTCTTGTTAATACCCACTTGTTACTTAGGATCTTCTTGTTTAGTGCTTGCTTTTTGTCAACCACTTCCCACGTTTCATTCTCAATAAGGGAGTTTTTCTCATCCTCAATTGTTTGTAGCCAATTTTTTTTATCTTGTCCTTTGATTGCTTCTTCATATGTTAACATCACAAAATCTTTATATCTTTCAGGTAGTTTAGTGGTTCTTCTTAGTTTGATGCTTTGTGTAGTATCAGTATTACTTGAACTTGGCTGTTCTTCATTGATTTCATTTTTGTCTGAAGCCAACTCAAACTCTACTTCATTATTACTTATCACACTTAGATTATCTGCAATCTCAATATCTTCATTTTCAGTTTTGTCTTCTTTCTGGTCATTTTCAGTTTTGTCTTCCTTCTTGTCATTTTCATTTTTGTCTTTTTTCTGGTCATTCTCTGTTGTATTTTCAGAGAAAATAACCTCACCACCATTATTAGTTATTGCAGAAACAGACAACAAGTTTTTACTGAGTTCAGGAACATATAGCACATTATTCAGGATACATTCTTTGGATTTTACAGTTCCACTCGTCGAAGCTAAAATCGTTTGATTTTTCTTAGCAACATATATTTCAGAAGAAATATTTTGTTTATTAGGCCTACTAAACAAATCTTCACAATTTGTCATATGTGAAGATGTGCCTGAATCAACAACCCATTCAGATACAAAGTTTACAGTCCCACTATTACCCCGAACATTTTGTCCATCATCATACGACAAAAATGACACAGTTTTACTAGCGACATTTAGGTTCTGGCTTTTTCTAAAGTAACAATCTTTTTCATTATGATTTGACTTTTTACATATATTACAAAATAAATTTGGCTTTACATTTCTTTTTCAAACTTGTTAACATTTTTTACATTTCCACAGGTGTTTGCTAAATGACCAACAGCATTGCATTTAAAACATCGCCTTTCATTATCAGAGTTAGCCCTATTGTATGTAGGCTTCTTGCAGTACTTTGCTTTATGGCCTGGAATTTTACAGTTGTGACAAACAACTTGGAACGCAAGATTTTTCTCTAGGCTTACCTCCTTTAACTCACTTCTTGACTCTTCTGCTAACAGTCTCGCTGTTAGATTTGCCAATGTCTTTTCTTCATTGGGCATTGATTCCCAGGCAGTTACAAAATACTTAAATCTATCTGGCAGACTGACAAGAATTTTTGATATTATCATTTTGTCATCAATATCTTGTTTTAAAGTTTTTAGTCTGTGTGCTATGTTTTCAATTCTACTTATGTGAGAACTTATATCAGAATTAGGCTCATACCTGAGGTTAAAGAATTCTTGTAATAACGAGTACTTCTGCTGCTCTGAGTCTCTTTCATAAATATTACACAGTTTCAAAAACATTTCTCTTGAGTTTTCACAGTTAATGATATGTAACATCGGTCCCTTCTCAATAGAACTAACTATACACTTCTGAGCCTTGGCATCTCTTTTAATCCAATCAGCCTTCTTCTTTCCATCACCCATATCTTCAAGTTTCTCAGAACCATCAACAATACTCATCAAATCACTGGATTGAAATATTATTTTAATCTGAAATTTCCACAATGGAAAAGTTTCAACTCCTTTGAGTTTTTCTACGAAATCATCTTCTTTTACTGATGCCATTGTTAGTCTTACTTTTATTTCACTCACCTTCACTACACTTTAACTCTTGGGGTTTTACTAGAAGATTACTTCTTGTTTTTACAGTTATGGTTGAATTAATGAATTTTTCTGGGCCCATAACCTGTTGACTTAAGTGAAAGTAAATTACTAACACCTAAGGTTTTACTGTTACAATAATTATCTTTTATTTTACTGAAGTACACACACACAACATTTTTACTCAAACATAACTTATTCAACAATTCTCTTTACAATAAAAAAAATCCTAACTATTTACACATGGTCAGCTGTTACCAACATAAATTAAATTAAATACAGAACAAGTAACAGCAAACATATTATATAAAAATAAAATTACATTCAACAAATTAAAGGTTCCCCACACTCTTTTAGGCCCGTTTTTAGAGCTGTACTTCAACCTGAGCGCACAATACAGGTAGTATTATACATACATCGATGGTTGTGGCTTGCCCCTGGACTGGTAAGACAAATATGTAGTGGTTTATTTACCTTTAATTTCGTTCCAGTTCAAAAATAGTTGTGTATCTACAACCATGGTTTCGACGCCAGTTGCATCATGGTCACGTAGTTAGCTAGTCGAGAAATATATTGTCATAGTTGGTCGCTTGGATGTCATTATACTCACACACACACGAACATTGTTATGGAGTGATCTCCAGCCGGCTTCCCCGTTGGTGTAATTAAATAAGTACAGTTCGTCACAGGCCTGTGTTCCGTCCACGAGAACCATTATTTGTTCTAATTTTTTTGTGTTCCAGTGTGTTTTTGTTTTTGTTTGTGTAGGTATGACGACGTCCAAGCGACCGACTCTGAGAAGATATTTCTCGAGTTGCTAACCAGGCCTACGTGGTAACTAGTGTCGAAACCATGGTTGTAGATACAAATATTTTTGAACTGGGATGAAATTAAAGGAAAATAAACCACTATATATATTTTAATGTTTTTTTTTCAAGTAAATTTTGAAAATAAATTGAAATAGCCTATTTGTTCAACTATTTTATTATAATTGTTTATATAATAGGTCTCAAGCAAAAGCCATGGAAGCGGTGTCAGGGTTCATTGTAATGATGTCCATCGTGTGCTGCTGTGTCTGCTGTTACCGCTGTTGCTGTCGTCGCACAACTAGTAGAGGCTTTGTGTACTCCACTCCAGGTAAGTGACAAAACTATAGTAGACAGCCCAATTATCTCTAAGACAGTAAAACTGTGTAATAATTTCTTCAACTTATTCACATTTTACCTTACCTCCTTGGCCACTCAAATCTAAGAGGTTTTTTGGCCTTGCCAACAAGATGCCTCCACTGCTTACCTACAGTCTGAGGTCAAGAGATGCCTCCATTCTGTGTAGAGCCTTCTGGATTCTGTCTTTCCACCTGAGCTTCGGTCTTCCTTGCGGGCAAGTGCCTCTTGGTTGTCCATTGCTGATCTTCTTCAGGAGACTTCCTTCTTCCCTTTTTTTTCTACATGGCCTGCCCATATTATTCACATTTTATACTTCAAACATAAAAAAATAAAAAAAAAATACAAAACACGCTTTTCTTTTCTTAAAACAACAAATAGACCTCCACAATCATAAATTTAGTACCGTATGTAAACATAAACATCCAAAATGTAAACAAAAATCAAACTATAGTCAGTTAGTGATAATTCACAACTTCACTTCCCTGTGTCAACACAGCTGATAATTCACAACTAAATTATCCATAAGTGGATTAACCAGAATTGCCAAAAAATAAATACAAAAATATATTATGTAGTTAAATGTACGTTTTACAGCTATGTTATCAAGATGTTTTGCATGAGGAAGCCCATCATATTACGGTCATAATATAGAGTTACTGTTGTTAACTTTACTGACTACCTACAGTAGACCCCCTCTTAACCGATCTCGTATTAACCGATAATCGAATTATCCGCCTTCGATCGTAAAATAATACGGTTTGTTTTAACCGACCTTGCTCTGAGAGCAGCTCGGTTTAACCGCCGCTTTCTAGGAATCTCGGCATTTCCGCTCCCACGCTGGGCGATGAGAACTGAACCATACGCTTATCTCCACAGGATATGATTAAGAATAAGTTATTTTGTGTTGATCACAAAAAATATAGCATAGCCTATTGTCAGTTTGTCATCATTGTTTGTAGCTCGAGCTCATCTGATCTGTTTGTTATCTGTGCGGCGAATTTATAACATCATAAAGTGCGTTACGATTTTGAGAACTGATTATCTTATAGCTGGAGTAAACAAAAAACGCAACATGTAGGGAGGGCTGGGAAAGGGGGTTAACAACTCCAAGGTCAAGATAGTTTTTGTGCCTCGAGCCTCCAGTGAGAGGCTATAACAAACGTCATGTCTTGTAACAAAATTGTTGATTGTATCTTTAATGTCGACAAAAGTTTCTGTACTGTATTACGATGGATTTGGAAAGCATCAATCAATAAATTACAGTACTAAAGTTATTAAAATAGGAATTTTATTGAGTCTTGCCTAGTATTATAATATTTTCCACTGAAAGTAGGCCTATTTGACTTAACCGTGTTTTGTGTTTATTTGTGACTTTTCTATCAATACGAAAAAGGAGATAAGAGTAGTTTATTTTATAAATAATGCAAGTATGATTTCAAAATAATGATCATATAATTCCAAATGAATAGCACTTCATTATGTTATGATTTTAGGGATTGTCCGTTTCATCCGACCTTTTGAATTATCCGACCTAGGTCCGGTCCCATTAGGGTCGGCTAAGAGGGGGTCTACTGTATAAGTCATCGATTACAACCAATGAGTTAATTATATTTTGTAACAAAATACCACAAATTGCATATTTTATATTTTTTGAATCTTGAGAAATTAATAGCCTCAACTTTTACTGTAAGAACCAGACATGTCCCGTTACCTATATAGGAGTAAAAATTTATATTGAAATTTGCTCTAACTGCAGATAGTAGACATGTCCGGGACTTGTTTTTGTGTCTCCTGAAAAGTGAGGTTTTGGACATATGTCTGGTTTCTGCAGTAGGCCATTCGTATGTATAAGTCTTTTATTACTAGACCTACCGTGTACACAACACAGGCCCTCAAATATTATGTGTGTTAAACAAAGTTAAAAGGTTTCTTTAGGTACTGCATTTAAACCTGTATTAAAGTCAATGTTAGTTAGTTCCCAGGCATATTAGGCTAGTTTTGCGTAATCTAAATTTTGATTTTTCACATTCACTCAACCACTCATTATTGTGCAATTAAGAGTTAATTGAATGGTATTGGCAGTTTATGTGGTATAAAAGATGCTTTGACATACAAGTTGTCCTATCGGTTTGGCTTCCTAGTGAAAAGCGGTTGTTTAGTATTCAACATAATTTACTGGATTCAGGCCTACTTACTTTCCTTGAATTCTTACCAACTAAAACAAACAGCCAACATGGACAATGGTTGAAAAGTTGGTGTATTTGACAAAAATCAGTAACTGAAAGCAGCACACTTTTGTCTGTTGCTCAATTAAACTAAGCTAATTTGTCACTGACAGGTTACCAGATATACTATGCCACACTTTTTGCTTCTTTAATATGGGAATGACATTTCATTAGTCAAAGCTTGTACTTATTACATTTGAGTAGTGGATGGCACATTACATTTTGTGGTTGTTAAATCAAGAATGTAATGTTGAGGCTGCCATTATTCATCTATTCAATGACTGGCCTTTGCCCAGGTAGAAACACTTAAAGTTTTCAGTTCTTACATATATACTGACTTAAATGAAAATCCTGAACACTGGTACGGTATCATCTACAAGTTGGTGCATCTATACATTTTATACACACCAAGTATACACAGAATTTATGCAATTAGAACATCAGTTTAAAATCACTTTTAGAAACATGAAAGATCTAAAGGGAGGTTCACCAACAATAAATAAACTTAAAAATATTGATAACTTATATTGGATATATTGGCAATTAATAATGAAATGTAGCCTATTATTTACAAGTTCAACAAAGCCAATAAAATTATTATATATTGGCCTTGTTGAACTTGTAAATTTAATTATACATTTCATTAAAAACGAGGTGTTAGCCCGTCCTACGTACGGGAATTCAGAAGTCAGTTAAAACCGTGTACAATTCTGATAAGCTAGTTTACACATATAAAGACAAAGTTTCTTGCAGTTTTAATGTGAAAAATCATTTTGTAAACAAATTTTGTGTGACCAAATATGTTTTTATTCCATCATAGGCCTATACGATATGCATTTTAAATCCGATAATTTTAAACAGCAATTCTGCAATTTGTACGATGTGAAAAGCGTTGAAGTGAGATTTGCAGCCGATTCGCACAGACGCACACTGATTATAAGTAGCCTACAGTATAGAGAGAGTAATAGTCAATTGAGAAGTGTATAGACCTAGTCAACGATACCACCTTCCATAGCATACCTGCCTCTTCCATAATTATTATCACCACAATACAACAACTATACACAATTTCCAGTAGGTCTGAATAGAAACGACCTAAAATAAAACGATAATATCCAATAAAATTCACATTACACATAATTTAACTTTGGTGTCCTAACATCAAAACTAATCGTCACACCTATCTATTCTATATATAATTCAGTTTTAAAAATCTGTGTACAACTAAATCTAGAGTTCTACTGGACCGATTTTATTAATTAATGGGTCGTTGGAAAGCTTAGGTCGTGTAGATTTGCAAATAATTATGAAAGTTTGATTTTATTATGATTTAGGTATGGTGAAAAATTTCAAAAAAACATGTTTTCCATAAGAAATACATTGAAAACGGTGTTTTTCACACTTTTTATTTGGGTGCGACTTTTAGCTGCCTTTTTTTAGTGTTTCCAAGAAGTGTATGGTATCAATTTGTAGGAAATTTTATTCTCTTTCAGAATATCACCTTCCACTTTGGTCGATTTCCTCACCATTTAAAAGTTATTTGCAAAAAAGCTAAGCAACCTCCGAATTTATAATAATGAGAAAATATTGAGTTTGGGATATTTTTGTTAAACTTTGTACAACTAAATCTAGACTTCTACCGGACCGATTTTGTTAATTAATGAGTCATTGGAAAGCCTTACTCATGTAGATTTGCAAATAATTATGAAAGTTTGATTTTTTTAAATATTTGTGGTAGAAAAATAAAAATAACAAAAATACATTAAAAACTGTTTTTTTCAGGTTTTTATTTTCAAGTTTATATTTGTAGTCAGCTTTTGGCTGCCTTTATTAAATAATTTCAAGAAATACACAGAAGGTATTTGTAGGAAATTTTATCTTCTTTCAGAATATCACGTGCATTTTCTACGATTTACTCACCATTTAAAAGTTATTGTCAAATTAGATAAGTGACCTCCAAATTTTTAGTTGTTAAAAATACTGAATTAGGGATATTTTTGTTAAACTTTGTACAACTAAATCTAGACTTCTACTGGACCGATTTTGTTAACTAATGTATCGTTGGAAAGCCTAATTTGTGTAGATTTGCAAATAATTATGAAAGTTTGATTTTATTAAATATTTGTGGTCAATAAAGAATAAAAAGCAAAAATACATTAAAAACTGATTTTTTTTATAGTAAATATTTTAAAATTTCAATTTATAGTTAACTTTCGGTTGCCTTTTTCGAATATTTTCAAAAAACGCCTAAGAGTACTTTGTAGCAAATTTTATTCTCTTTCAGAATATCACCTTCCACTTTGGTCGATTTCCTCACCGTTTAAGAGTTATTTGCAAAAAAGCTAAGCAACCTCCGAATTTATAGTAATGAGAAAATACTGAGTTAGGGATATTTTTTTTAACTTTGTACAACTAAATCTACAGTTCTACTGGACCGATTTTATTAATTAATAGGTCAATAAAATCTGTGTATATTTCCAAGTAATTAGTAAAGTTTGAGTTTTATTTATTTATGGTAGTAATACGTTTGCCGGTATGAATAATCTAAAAATGTTATGGTAGTAATAATGGGTTAGCCAGTATGCATCATCTGATCATATGGAACACATGTATTAACCTATAGTTTAACAGCTGATTGTTTTATTGTTATTTCCTTGATTTTTCTTTGTTTACATTTAGTTGTTTACTATTTGAATTGGTGGTTGAGGTCCGTAAAGTGTGTTTCTAAAGTGATGTTTTTAATCTG